ATGATATTGAACAAGGCTAAATGTAGGTAGAATCTACTGAAATTGGTTTCATGAAAAAAAATATCTGAATGATACGCAAAATATACATCATAGTACTGAAAGTGTAATCAGAAGGATAGGACGATTGTGTTTACTTTTTTTTCATCCGACCTTCACCTCAAAGATATTGCCTAATATGTAGTACTACAACAATGTTGACGTGTGACATCACAACCGATGACCGATTTCTTACAAAATGGCGGCTTCGCTGACAAGGGTACACAGGATTTTGCGAGGACTCTTCCCTTGCTTCAGGGATCGTTTGTACATAAATATGAAATGTAAGTAATCAGAGTGACTCTGACTATCTGTGTATTGTTATATGTTTTCTTTGTAAGTAAGAGAAGAAGCCAGAAATGCTGATAATTACCGTTGTCGTTCTGCGTGATTTTGCGTCTGTTATGGCGTCACGCTGCACGGAAACTTTGACAATTTCTTATGAAGTATCAAATCAAATCATTGCATTGTATCTATTTTTAATTTCCTCTTTCTTGCTATGATACTCTTTCCATACATATTCTAAAGGTATTGAGCCATTGCAAGCAATGAATAGCCGGCTGCTACGCAGTATAAATCGAATCTTTTCTTTGTTTACATTTCAAACTACAGTAGCGCAGTCTTCCGAGCACAGCGTTTGTTTTCACACCCCAATATCCAGTTGGTATTGGTAACAAAGACCAACTGTGATTTGATTTTAAAATGTATGGGGAATTCATTGATGCATTTGTCGCAGCTGACTATGAAATATGCGTGATGTAATAGGCGTCTCAATACCGGCCTTTGCGAGACGTGATTTTGTAAACACTATCCAATAAGGCGGAAAGCGCACTTCGGCGTTCGTGTAAGTATATTTTCGAAAACATCCAAACCGATTCTAGGTTCATCGGCAGCGTTTCAGATTATCATTAGTGATATCATGAAAAACTGATTTCAGTTATCATTAATATGTTATTTTTGAAATTCAGTACATCCAGTAATTATCCAATTTTCACATTTGAAAACATACTGTCTACACTGTACAGCAAATAATGCTGTGAATCGTGATTTCGTATTGTGTATAAAATGGCGACATTTACGATGAAGCCTATTTTGAAAGGTTATTTAAGCACTTTAGCTTTGTCTTTTAGCTTTGTCAAAACTGTGAAGTATATTTGTGTGTCTGATATATTTAGAATTTTATTGGACTTCAAAGTGAGGGTTGAAGAGGAAGGACATATGTCCCTGTGGCACCCAGGGGTTTTTAATCAAGTCCAGATACACGGCCAGAGCACTATTCTTAACACACTAGCTCGGGATATTCCATGGACAGGCCTACCAAAGAAAAAAACGAATTGCGAGGAAAAGCATAGAAATGTACACATTAAGAGGCGAATGTGCATACAAACATAGCGATGCGGAATAGAAAGCATAGAAACTGCATAAAAATACGACGATCTGCAAATTTAAAGAATCGAGGACGCGTTCCGAAAGACTCGAAGTGCATCACGATGTGACTGCGCATGCGCTGCCCAATTCCAAAATGGCGGATGAAAGTTTGACTCCTGCGGTTGGTAAGTGAAAATGATTTTTATTCTTCATATGTCTTGCTATAAGATATTTTATGAATTAGAAAAACTAGATAAAGGTTCCTAAAACGAAACTGTAAAATATTACATCATTTCGCCAGCTACATCGAAGAACATAAGTCATTTTGTGATTAGCATGTGGAACCGCTATAGTCCGTATCAAATACGGCCAACCGATTCTGATTCTTGGTTTGGTGGAGCATGATAGTATGGTTTCACACGGCCAAAACTGGGAACCCAAATGAATAACTGACTGTATATATTTTCAATATATACTTTGACAAAAATCTAATCCGAACTTATATATTTTCATGGTATAAATATGTAAAATATATTTTGAATATAATCACAGACTCGTGTCGTTGTCATGTAATTTCCATTGACTAATTAATAAAACAATTTTCATGAAGTTACTTTCGATCATAGTCAAATGTGAAATCACCTGAATGAAAATTATTTCTGCTTCACTAAATTAACATGTAAGTCTATGGAAAATATATGAAGTGAATGTTTCTGTAGGTCTATATATTGATTGCTATACTGCACTACCGTCTTTTTCAAAATTAATTTTGTTATTTTTCGGGTTTTTTACTAAGATGATATGTAATATATTTTTATCATGTAAAAAGAACTGGATATCCTAACTGATAATAAATATTTTTATGAGGCTAATTTTAATTTTTAATATTTAAAATAACTGTAAAATTAGAATAAGGTTTCACTTTTAGATGTCCTAATGGAGACCTAATTATCTGTTTTTGATTTTCCAGCAATGCTCCTGAAAGAAATGACAGATCCTGCAAGTCCTGGTTCATGTGATGAACTAACTACCATTCCTGAATCACCAACCACATCACAGACATGGACTGAACCACAACCAGATCTTCAACATTTGAGGTTCGAGTGCGAGTACTGTGACAAGGTGCTAGCAACAAAGATGGGAATGAAAATGCACACCCGGCAACATACAAAAGAGTTTCCTTATGTATGTAGCCAATGTAGTAAAGGGTTTAATACCCGAGTCCTCCTCAAAGCGCACCTTGCCAAGCATCAAGGAAAGCCGTACGCAACTCGCAAACTTTGCGGAAAAGCTTTAGCAAGTCCATCGGCACTCAAGCGGCACCATGCCTTACATGAAGGCACAACATTGAAATGTGAATATTGTGAAGAAACATTTCACACTAAGGATTCACATTCAAAACATCAGATTTCTCATCAAACGAAAACAGAAAGGTGTCAGGTATGTGGAAAAGACTTTCATGAAAAAACAATTAATAAGCACATGCGTGAAATTCATGGCGAGAAAAAACACCAGTGCGAGTTATGTCCTTATGCCACAAACAGAAAGGCCGACTTGATGAGGCATGGTGTGATGCACAAACCCACCAAGATTGAAATCTGTTCTTCATGTGGCAAGGACTTTAAGTGGGAGACCTCCAGAAGGAGGCATGAGGAGGTCTGCCAAGGACCAAAGGAGGACGAAGATTTTGATATTGTTGAAATAGACCCAGACCTCTTAATCCATTGCAGTGCAGCAAAAAAATAGGATATTTAAACATTTTCTCCAGTGACTGTGGTGTGTAAATATGTTTCTGTGATCATCCAGAGAGAGACTGTGATGTGTAAATATGTTTCTGTGATCACCCAGAGAGAGACTGTGATGTGTAAATATGTTTCTGTGATCATCCAGAGAGAGAGACATATGTGATGTGTAAATATGTTATTTTGTGATTTACATCTTATACATGTATTTTATTTTTGTGATAGCCTGTGATTTATATGTTGTTGAACAGAATTACTGTCTACCACCAGTCGGTGCCATAAATGTATACTGTGTTGTCCAAGTGCCAAGTTTGACTTTATCAATAAAAAAGTTTTGAAACTTATTTCCACATGTACTTCAATTGACAACACGAAAAAGTTCATTCAAAATTGTTTTATAATTTTATTCAAGATAACAATACATCCTAACAGCAGCAGCTCTTTCATTTACATGACATGATATGAAACAAATCAAACAACATGACTTAACTTGGAAGAACTTTTTAAGTTCATTAACATTGGGTGTTTGTCATTCTGAAAACAAGACCACTAGGCGACCTTATGTTAGCTTTTCCCACAAATGTGCCCTGGGGATGAGATGATTTTGGATTTAACAGCACTTTCAATAGTATTTCCATTTATATCACAAGTGAACCTGGGATGGTACTGCACTGAATTTCAATTAAGCATTCACTCAAATCTTACTGCATGAAGAACAGTTTTTAAAAAGCAGTGTCTTTAGCTTTGCCCATTCTCACAAGTGGATTTATTCTGGACTCGTCAACTTTGTGGTGTTGACGCACTCCAGAGACTCCTTTAGCTGGTTCATGGATGTTGGATAGTCCATGCAGATGGTGACGAGCAGTGCGTCTTCGACTTTTGTCGTCAAACGGATGATCCTGAAATGTGAGATTATATTATTGAAATATGCTTAACCAAATACCAAAAGTAATATACATACCAAGTAACAAATGTAAAAATTACATATAACATTCGTAATCCCAAATACAATAAGATACAGAGGCTATGACATTCCTGTTAATGCTGATCTATATATCTATATCTAACTATTGTTTTGTGAATGGACTTGATCTGTCCAACTATTATACTCACAACAATGTTGATGTCATCAATAAAGCAAGGTGGAGGTCTTGCAGCAGGGAGTGGCTCGTTGACTTTCTAAAGAGTTTGTTCAGGGTACATAGGAGCAGAAGACATACGGAGAGGGAATCCTCTACAACAAATAAGATTAATAAAGGAATGAAATCATTATCAAAAGTAAATGCCTTTGGACTTAATTTGTGAACACTCAATTTGCCAAACTGGTTAATGTCAGCTAAAAACTGGAATTAGTAATGATAATGCAATTATTTTCAATCCAGTAATATTTCTGGTTTGCTTATCATCAGCCCCTGGCCAATCCTGGATCATTCCATTTGTTATAAAGTTATGATTCTTGAAAATCAGCTACACAGAAAGTTATGAAAATAATTATTTCATTAATTAAATGGTTAAAATGCTAAAGTTGGAGTTTAAAGGGTGAAGCGCCGTTGATTCGATTTATGCCCTTGTTTCACATGTACAAATAAGTTGAGACAATCAATTACCTGTCAGGGTCTAGCCTCACAAGACTCTCCCCACACAACTTTGCCATGTTTGTTTCCAGACCAATACAGGTAGGTACTCCGTTGTTTGAACCAGGAAGAGCGGCCAGTGAGGAGTAAATTGCTTCTCAATTCTGACTGCTGACTGCACTACAGGGTAGTTGATTGTAGGTTCGACGTTTGGTCAATGCTTGCAATTGTTGCTTCCAATAATTGCTTTGGATATCCCTTTATATGCATTCCGGGGTGAGGAAACCTCTGCAGATCCACAAAGGACAACAGCTTTTCTCTGTATCTTAAATGAAAGAAATTACATTCTCATTTACAGACGTAAGCATTAGGAAAGTGTGATCATTGTTAACTAACTTTCCAGTAGTAGTAGAATTATGCTAAATCAGCAAGGGCCAGGACCAAATTTAGCACTTGATCATAATCATTTAATGATTGCAAGTGCTGTTAATAACAATTTACTATGGTCAAGAAAGTACTTACCTCCACATATTTCTGCATCTTTCAAGGGCTGGAATTCCTGGTTGATCACAAGCTTCGAACCAGTCACGAATCTGAAATAATATCATTTATGGATAATAATGATACAATTTGTGATGAACAGAACAGTACCAATTATCAGAGTTTGGTCTTGTGCTTAAATCTAAATTGAGTACACATATCAGTGTATGACAATCAGACCCATTTGACAGACCAAAATCTTATTACTTTTTGCAATTTTGAGGTTTTTGTTTAATTTAACGAATTAAATTTATACACTAAGAATTTCTTGTTGGCTACTTTATTATGGTTCTGCAGAACCATTTAGTGGTAGCAAAGTGGACTTTGTCTTGTAGAGCAATAAGTTTTCCCAGAACGGTACTGAAGAAGCATAGTTGATTGATAGTTAAAGTAGGTAATATATGGGGAAAGTATTCTTCCTTGAATATTTACAAATTTTTAAAAAAACACATACATTTTAACTCACCATTTTGCACATTTCTGCAGACTTGTTAGCTTTCATGGCTCTCAGTTCATTCTCCACTTCAACAGAGAAAGTTATCAAAGAAAAGTCAGTGCTCTGCATGTTTATGCGATCCTCAATCATTCCCAGCTTCAGCTGTGTATTTCCCTGTTCCGCAACTGTGACAAAGTCCGATCTCTTTGCTGATCCAAGATTGCCCTTGCACAAAGCTGATCGATGTCTGGTGAGGAGGTGATGTGGATCTATCTTCTTGGTTTCCAGTTGGTTTCTATCAGAATGCCATTCCGGTATGTAGAACCATTCAACTGGTTTGGATAAAACTAGCACTACCATGTTGCGCTTTATTTTGGCTCCTCGACGCCAATTGCCCAGTATCTCGCCAAATTTCCAATTAGCATAGGATACATTAAGGGCCATTTTAGGATATGACTTTTGCTGCAGACATTTTAAGGAAAGGCATTTCAATTTTGCAGGAGACCTCCTTCGGAATTTCTGGGATGGTACATCTCCACATATATGAAGCAGAGACTTTAATTCTTCCAAAAATTTTTGCTTAGATCCTGATATCCTCACTTTCAGCAGCTTCCTATCACGCAAGAACTTGAGGATTGAACTGAGCTCTTTGGCATTCATTTTTGACATTTCACAGCAACTGACAAAATATCCTTTCAAGTATTCAACTGATGGAGATCCCTGATTTCACTGAGGAAAATCCCTTTTGCTAAATACCTCTGTGTACACAACACTTGCAGGGAGGTCGGAATAGCATGTGAACGCCTTGTTCAGTTGAGGCTCTAACTTTCTGCACAGTTAGAAAACAACATGGGTGTCGAGCACGTTCGACCTATCTCAAAATTTCTCAGGTCTTCTTTGTTAGCGCGTTTTAATCACTTGCAGTGCCATAACCGTTGACGCCATCTTTGTAGTGTTTACGACCTCCTAAAGCATTAACGACAGGTCAATCGGGGTCCTAAATTTTGGGCTGTTTACGACACAGTGTAAATATACGAGGTCTTTGTGAAACAGGGTAAAAAAGTAAGAGGTGGTCTATGACCTGCTTTACGAGGTCGTACCGGTAAGAGGGCTTTGTGAAACGGGCCCCTGGAGACCACAGCCACGGACCAGTACACAACGAAGTCAAGGAAAATCAAATCTCAAATAGATGGTAACAAAATGAGGAATATTTTTTAAAAAAAAGGTAAGAAGTATTCCTAACGTTATGTTAAAGGTCACATGCAACGTAAAACACAACTTTGCAGATTCTGATACCTTTCGGTATGGACTTACTGAAACAAATCATCAAAAATGCAAATTCAACTTATAAAGTTGAAAAATAACGCGATGAAAAAAAACGCGCGAAGGCGGAGTTCAAAAGATTCACTAATTTTCCCCAGCGCTTGGGGGAAAAGTGGTTTCAACAGCTGGGCTGCGCTCATAGCACATGCGCAGTGAAATAGGTTCGCGCAGCGGGTTGTCCGGTGAATACTCGGTGAAGGCTTTGGTGTGAGCTATTTTTTTTTAATGTTTTGTTGATATTTCACAGGCGCGAGCTTTTTATGTTATACCAATAGATTACCGATTTAACTGTTTATATAATTTCATTTGTCTATTTCACCACACGTTCTTCTTACCGAGTCACTTTCTCAGTTCGATACTTAAAAGCAATGTCATTATTTAGCGTTGACCGAATATCTAACTGTGACACAGATATGTCGTTGTCACAGACAAAACTCAGTGTCGGTTTTATTGACACCTATGTGTCTGCCTGCCTGTCTGCTAATGACAATATTCAATACACAACTTCGATCACTGACCACATGCAATTTGAACTTAACACCTATCAGGCTATACACCATAAACAAAACGCATTGATTTATGGCCCGAGTTCGGTCTCTGTCACATTATGTAATTAGACAGACAGGCATGTGCGATACTTGTACACATGACATGTTATGATGTCTGTTGATTGCAAATTGTTATACACAAGAAAATGAGCATGTATTTACGGTTCATTGCCGGGAATGCTAAAATCTCGACGCTTCTCGGTTCAGTGAGCGTAGCCTTCGCGGTACTTGCAATGTCTGTGAAAGTTACGTGAGTATGAGTATGCCCCGTTCTTACCGCTCTGCCTTCTCCAAATTCAGATCAGGTACTGCTCCTCTGCATTTGGAAACCGGCAGATATACAAATGTGAATGAGAGGGTATGTTTTCAGTGCAGTGAGAGTGTTGAGGATGAAAGACACGTTCTGTTGTATTGCCCTATGTATGATGATTTGCGTGAAAGTTTATATGAAAATGTCTGTTTTAGCTATCCCAACTTCTTAGATCTTTGTGATGATGATAAATTAGTTTTACTTTTTAAACACCATGTATATTTCAGTGCCAAAACCTGCTTTTATATCTTGCAAAGAAGAAAACATATTTTATACGAAAGTAAGAAAGTTTATTCACTCTTGCTTGACAACGGTATAAGAATCCATACCGAAACGTCGCATCATATATAATAAAGAAGTTGTTATCCATAAACTTTCTTACTTTCTTATTAGTCACCAACTTCTAAATGCCAATCAAACATATCATATTTTATACGGATAGATTTTATACTGTATGTACCTATATAATTATTTAGTATTTATAATGTATTAATACATTAGTCTCTCATAACCCTTAAAGGGTGGCTCACTTATATGCTATATTTTATAAATATATTAAATATGTATTTTATGTGAGGTGAGACTGAAATAAAATATCTGTCTGTCTGCAATGTTATGGTTAAATGAACACGGGGCGCCTCACTCGGAGGCTCTGACAAATTACAAAGAAAACAGGATTAACGTGGACGCTCTTTAATTTGGGCACATACAAAAATATTAATACAGCTATACGTTTTCATTTTCAGTATACATTTTCTTGAATTCGACATTAAATTGTCATTATCCATAGTAAATCACATTTCTGTCAATCTACGTCGAGCTTAAGACAATTTGAGAAGTTCAGACACGTTGTCTGTGTAGGCGATGTCCCCGATGATGTTGTTCACAAGGCCCTTCAGGTTTAAGTTGACTATAACCTGCGCACCTGCCATCACGAATATGTGTACGATAGTTCGGTGTCAGTTTGCAACTTCAATATTATAGCAATGTTTTTCGAATTAAATACATCTGAAATAAAAACGCCACTTAAATACAGGTCTAAACAAGCGAAGAAGATAAAGAAGCCTGCTACATATTGAAGTTGGAAGATACCATAATGTGGTTTAAACATATTTTATTCTATTCAAGAGGAAAGAAAAGGATTGGCAAACAAGCCTAAATGGCTTATATTAATGCCGCTCCATAATACATGTGAAGGTTCACATTTGTGCATAATACATATTTATAGTGGTTATAACAAGTTATCTCTGAATAATAACAATCATGGATATCAACAATTTGTCTTGGTTCAGTTTCGTGGCCAGTTGATACAAATAAAAAAAAAATAAGAGAAGCTACAAAACTTTATGAATCAAAACGTTTTGATGTAATAATGAATTGATGGACTGACCGTAGAATATCCATATTCGTCTGATGAGATACTGAGTTATTGCCATTTAGCACATCCCGCAGGGGAGAACCCTTTCACATAGAAATACGATTCGTATCGAGTGGCATTATATTTAGGACACATGAAAAAATAGTGGAATACATCCTCATAATCTTGTGAGCAGGAACAAGAAGCATTATCAGAAATGAAACGATTATACTTATCACTGTTTAAGTCACTGCATCCCAATCTAAGGCGGCAGTGTATTATTTGACAAAATCGACTACCAAAATTTAGATCGAACATTGTGTTGGTATTAACTTGTGGTGTGATTGAATTCTTAAACTGTCCAACAGAGGAAGCGTTTGTGGCATTTGTAGGTAGGTCATTCCACAGTTTAATTGTATCGGGCAAAAACGATTTGGCGTAATTAGCAGATTTGCATCTTATAGTCTGATAATTTTCATTATTCCTAAGATTGTAGTTACTGTTATCAGAAACATTCCCTGGAGCAAGATCACAAAGATAGTCAGGAACCATATGGTTTACCATTTTGTAAAATAATGTTAATTTAAAATTTTCTCTCCGTTTCGATAATGAAGTCATGTTTGTCTCATGATATAGTTTCGCATGGCTTGTACCTCTAACTGCACCGCATATTGTGCGTAAGGCATCTAAGTGAAGGTTTTCTAGTGACAAGGACTGTTCCTTTGTACAATTGTCCCAGAGATGACAGCAATAGTCAAACAGAGGTAAGATAAAGGATTTATACATAATGTACCTAGGGAAGAAATAATATGTGTCCATTGTTTATCTTTAAATCTTAATCGAATAGAAGACTGGTTCAAGTCTTAATAAATTCTATGTTCTATTCTGTTCTGATAAATACTCTATTATAACAATGTTTTGAAAAGAAATGTATCTACTCCCGGTATGGATTATGCTTCCCGGCACCGTATCTTTAGCTTTGGCGGTACTCCCTCAATTAGCTCTCCCGGGAAATCCGAAATATACATTTTAGCCTTCCCGGGACATCTGAAAAATACATTTTAGCCTTCCCGGTACGACACCGTATTTACAAAACCTAACATCTATATATATACACACACAATGAGCCGTGAGGGTATCGGCAAATGAACCAGCCGTTACACTTGAGTGCACACCCACCCGCTCTGACTGGGTTCGGTATCCCGGCTGCTTCGTTTCTAGGGAAGTAAACCCAAGTACAAAATATTGCACTTTTGATTTGCGATTGTACGCTTATAATTTTGTTTATATGCTTTTTCATAATCAGCAATGTATATTATATGCCATAAATAAGTGATAACTGTGTTTTAATTATGTTTGATTGTTTGGTTGCATGTGACCTTTAAGCAATCCACTCCTTTGATGATCGCCTAGGTGCATTATCGCGATAATGACATCGCGAGATATCGAACGAGCCTACAGCTCAGCAGGAACAGAAATCGTGACAATTGTTGTGAAAAATGAAAGCTATATGTTCTCACAATCTGCTGTCATTTAATTTTGTCACCTGCTTTGCCTAGCCTCCGAGTGGGCCTAGGACAAATGCCACCCGGACAAATGCCACCTAGGACAAATGCCACCCAAATAAAAATAAAAACCACCAACACAATAACATTTTTAAAAAGTCAACATTACTATGAAATCAAAATTTTACATGAAAATCAACTTTTTTATCAAAGTGAATATATTTTTTTAAGAACCCAAATTATTCATCAAAGTCTACATAATTTTACAACAAAATCAACATTAAAATCAATATGGGTGGTAATTGTCCTCTCTGTAATGGTAAAATAACTGGGTGGCATTTGTCCGGGTGGCTTTGTCCTGCTCCCCTTCCGAGTTACAACTTGTTTTCATAGACGATTCTGTCGTAATTGCCTGGTGTCGCTGGGCCTTATTTGTTCGAGCCAGCCGCTAGTGATAGTGAAATCTATGATCAGCCTCGCTCATCTCGGTTACGGTTAATGACTTCAACCTAAACAGTGCGACATTAGGAAGGGTGGATGCCCATCAGATGCCGTTATTTGAAAATTTCCCCGGTAGTTCTTGTCTGATTGCATTAAAGTATCAAAGCAGTGTGGGCTTTTGCAGGTTTTCTAATGCCTGGATGGTATAATGACTGATCATAATTGATCCCATTTCTGTGGGTTTTTTACCTCGATATTTATTCACGTCATTTAAAAATATGACGTATAATATTAAAAAAATGACATTTGATTTATTTGAATCCGTAAACTAAACAACCCCACTTTGCCATTGCTAGAAGACTCTGAAAATTTACTTAGGTGAATAGGTACATACAGTTTTAGCACACAGCAAATGCTTATATGTATTTCTTATGCAACAATGAAGTTCTGTCCGTATTCTCAAAATAGTGTCGGCCCATAGGTTTTCACATGCAATTAAAATTGCATGCAATACAGCAATTAATACTCCCTTGTTGTAACCCATGTTAGGTGGTATAAACCTACACATGTTATTTGTCATCATTCACTTGATGGTCAGTTAATGAATTTAAAACAGGTATATTTAGTGGTAACACCACTGGGATAACCCGACAAAGGTTCCCATTTGGCATTTCTTGTGTCTGGAGTAAATAATCAACATTATAAACATCGATCAAAGGATTAACCGATAACACGCTGATTGATTAATTACTTTTATCTTACACAGAAGATTTGTTAAAAGGTAGTGTTCATGTATGTAGATTTACTAATCTATACTGAATACACTCTGTCGTGTCGGTGTCTGCCTAAAACAACTTCCTTCTTTCAAAGGATTAACCGCCAAGACATTGATTGATTGCTCATTATTGGCTAACTAAATTACCTTTTTGTAAAGAATTGTGGACATTATGCGATTAGTTCCCAGGTATGCTATCTTGGGTGACCAATGAGACTATATACCAATGTGAAATACCTGAAACGATATATCACTTTTCGTAAACATGTATTAAATGTATCATTTGGAACAGCTGCAGGTGAATGGCATTTCACTCGTTTTTGTGGATATTGATGTTAAACCATCACGTCACACTGTGCTCCACCACCACATACCAGAATGTATGTTGTTGTTACACACACCATCACATACCAGAATGTATGTTGTTGTTAAACCATCACGTCACACTGTGCTCCACCATCACATACCAGAATGTATGTTGTTGTTAAACCATCACGTCACACTGTGCTCCACCATCACATACCAGAATGTATGTTGTTGTTAAACCATCACGTCACACTGTGCTCATCACGTCACACTGTGCTCCACCATCATACCAGAATGTATGTTGTTGTTAAACCATCACGTCACACTGTGCTCCACCATCACATACCAGAATGTATGTTGTTGTTAAACCATCACGTCACACTGTGCGTCCACCATCACATACCAGAATGTATGTTGTTGTTAAACCATCACGTCACACTGTGCTCCACCATACCACCCAGAATGTATGTTGTTGTTAAACCACACTGTCTCCACGTCACCATCACGTCCATCACATACCAGAATGTATGTTGTTGTTAAACCATCACGTCACACTGTGCTCCACCATCACATACATCACATACCAGAATGTATGTTGTTGTTAAACCATCACGTCACACTGTGCTCCACCATCACATACCAGAATGTATGTTGTTGTTAAACCATCACGTCACACTGTGCTCCACCATCCACATACCAGAATGTATGTTATTGTTAAACCATCACGTCACACTGTGCTCCACCATCACATACCAGAATGTATGTTGTTGTTAAACCATCACGTCACACTGTGCTCCACCATCACATACCAGAATGTATGTTGTTGTTAAACCATCACGTCACACTGTGCTCCACCATCACATACCAGAATGTATGTTGTCACACTGTTAAACCATCACGTCACACTGTGCTCCACCATCACATCACACTAGAATGTATGTTGTTGTTAAACCATCACGTCACACTGTGCTCCACCATCACATACCAGAATGTATGTTGTTGTTAAACCATCACGTCACACTGTGCTCCACCATCACATACCAGAATGTATGTTGTTGTTAAACCATCACGTCACACTGTGCTCCACCAGAATCACATACCAGTGCTCCAATGTAGAATGTATGTTGTTGTTAAACCATCACGTGCTCCACACCACACATACCAGTGTATGTTGTTGTTAAACCATCACGTCATCTCCACCATACCAGAATGTATGTTGTTGTTAAACCATCACGTCACACTGTGCTCCACCATCACATACCAGAATGTATGTTGTTGTTAAACCACGTCACACTGTGCTCCACCATCACATGTGCTCACACCACCATCACATACCAGAATGTATGTTGTTGTTAAACCATCACGTCACGCTGTGCTCCACCATCACATACCAGAATGTATGTTGTTGTTAAACCATCACGTCACACTGTGCTCCACCATCACATACCAGAATGTATGTTGTTGTTAAACCATCACGTCACAGAATGTATGTTGTTGTTAAACCATCACGTCACACTGTGCTCCACCATCACATGAATGTATGTGTTGTTAAACCATCACGTCACACTGTGCTCCACCATCACATACCAGAATGTATGTTGTTGTTAAACCATCACACTGTGCTCCACCATCACATACCAGAATGTATGTTGTTGTTAAACCATCACGTCACACTGTGCTCCACCATCACATACCAGAATGTATGTTGTTGTTAAACCATCACGTCACACTGTGCTCCACCATCACATACCAGAATGTATGTTGTTGTTGTTAAACCATCACGTCACACTGTGCTCCACCATCACATACCAGAATGTATGTTGTTGTTAAACCATCACGTCACACTGTGCTCCACCATCACATACCAGATGTATGTTGTTGTTAAACCATCACGTCATGTATGTTGTGTGTTAAACCATCACGTCACACTGTGCTCCACCACCACATACCAGAATGTATATGTTGTTTTTAAACCATCACGTCATCACGTCACACCGTGCTCCACCATCACATACCAGAATGTATGTTGTTGTTAAACCATCACGTCACACTGTGCTCCACCATCACATACCAGAATGTATGTTGTTGTTAAACCATCACGTCACACTGTGCTCCACCATCACATACCAGAATGTATGTTGTTGTTAATCCATCACGTCACACTGTGCTCCACCATCACATACCAGAATGTATGTTGTTGTTAAACCATCACGTCACACTGTGCTCCACCATCACATACCAGAATGTATGTTGTTGTTAAACACACGTCACACTGTGCTCCACCACCACATACCAGAATGTATGTTGTTGTTAAACCATCACGTCACACTGTGTTCCACATCACATACCAGAATGTATGTTGTTGTTAAACCATCACGTCACACTGTGTTCCACCATCACATACCAGAATGTATGTTACTGTTAAACCATCACGTCACACTGTGCTCCACCATCACATACCAGAATGTATGTTGTTGTTAAACACACGTAACACCGTGCTCCACCACCACATACCAGAATGTATGTTGTTGTTAAACCATCATGTCACACTGTGCTCCACCATCACATACCATAATGTATGTTGTTGTTAAACCATCACGTCACACCGTGCTCCACCACCACATACCAGAATGTATATGTTGTTTTTAAACCATCACGTCACACCGTGCTCCACCATCACATACCAGAATGTATGTTGTTGTTAAACCATCACGTCACACTGTGCTCCACCATCACATACCAGAATGTATGTTGTTGTTACCAGACACTGTATGTTACCAGTGTATGTTGTTGTTAACCATCACGTCACACTGTGCTCCACCATCACATACCAGAATGTATGTTGTTGTTAATCCATCACGTCACACTGTGCTCCACCATCACATACCAGAATGTATGTTGTTGTTAAACATCACGTCACACTGTGCTCCACCATCACATACCAGAATGTATGTTGTTGTTAAACACACGTCACACTGTGCTCCACCACCACATACCAGAATGTATGTTGTTGTTAAACCATCACGTCACACTGTGCTCCACCAGACCCGTCAAAATCTAGGTTAGAATTGATCTTCAGTAACCGATGCTTTCTGTGAGAATCGGCTAATGGGATCGGATGGTCAGGCTCGCTGACGTGGTTGACACATATTTTCGTATTCCAGTTGCGTAGATCGATGCTCATTTTCTCTGGATTGTCTGGTATAGACTCGAGTATTTACAGACCGCCGCCATACAGCTGGAATATTGCTGAGTGTGGCGTAAAACTAAACTCACTCACTGTGCTCCATCATCAGACACCACAACGTCTGCCGTTGTTAAGCCAATCACATGTCATGCTGATACTCAACTATCACAATATTATTGGCAATTGAAAAGCTGTAGTATCAATGAAGACAAACAAGATTTATGTATTTAAACTTTTTATTACAATACGTCATTTCAGTTTTGATGCTGTTCCTTTTATAAGAAGGTGTTTCAGTCACTTACAATTGTTTCTTGAGTTGTTCGTGAGAGTAATAGAGTAATAGAGAAATACAGTTTCAGTTTAATTTACATGCATTATACAGGTTATTCCGTAACATTAACGTTAATAAATATGTCGGTATCATCAGTTCGGGTGAATATTTTACCAATTCCATTTTTCGTCCTCCATAAATATTGAAAGTTTCTTATTATATGGTTTATAAAATTCGTCGATAAGTTCACGTGTAGTGTCCATCATATCCTCGTTCCCGTATGCATGCCCTCTTGTGTTTAATATCTTCCCATTCGCAATGTGTTCCAGCCTTTCGTCAGACAATTTTCCTGCAAGGTCGAACTCGAATTATCAGTAACATATGTTATATTTGGGATTACACTTTCTTAGTAAAGTACAGATTCTTGTACTTTTTGTTGGGTTGAGTCCCACCCGGGATTCGAACCCACACCCTCAGAGTCAGGCAGCTACAGCTTGTTCAGCTTGACCTGAGCTACTCTACATATGCATGACCCGGGAGGTCAAATGGCACAAACGGCAGAACGAATTAACTTCATTAAATAGGGGAGCAGAGAATGTTATTAATGTTGCCAAGCATGCATACATGGCTTCGTTACAGAACCTGTCCCGGAAAACAACACTTCTGAAAAAACAATCATTTTATGTTTTGATTTAATTGTTTATATTGTTTATTATGCTATCTAGTTTGGTTTGCTAACTTTACGAAGTACAGAGGACAAATACTTTCACAATCCGATTCACTCTTGCTATCTCTCTCTACACCCAGTTCAGTTATCACTTTTTCTATTTCATGGTCAACTGCAATATGTCTGTCCCAGTAGTAGGACATTGCTGACGATTTCTCGACACTGAGGAGTCAAACAGCGACCTGGTCACGGCTGTTCGGACATGTTGACAATCAACTGACAAAGGTACACCCCTTCACAATAATAGACCCAACCAGTTGTGACACGGCCACGCAATACATTAGTATTCACTTGATCAGGTCAAGCTGAACAAACTGTAATCGCCAGCACACAAAGTCAGCCATCCCGCTCACTCACCGCGACCTCCACTGGAATTTATCAGTAAGTTTTTCATGGTACTTTGTACTACTCATTTCAGTTGTATGGCCGCGTCAGTATCAATCTCCTTACTCAGCCATATACAGCTGACTTTTCTGTACATCTGAATAGAATGAAACGTGTCCGTACTTACTCAAGTTAAGAAATTTGAAGATTTCAGCCAGATGCCTTTTTTCATCGATCACATGATCTTCAAACTTAATCACATGTATTTGGTCTCTCCGAAACAGTTTCATCCAATCGGACAAGAACACGTGGTAGATGCCTCGACGGATATCCAGCTTCAAAATAAAAACATAAATATACATATATATACATCTGTGCCCCAGTCGTCGGAAGTGGAGCAGATGCTGATAAGGACACGTAGCGCCTCTGTGAGAGAATATAGCAGATATACATAGACATATAAGTTATCCCAGATAGATAGATAGATATTAACAAGGATACGTACCGCTTCTGTGAGAGAATTCGTTAAAGAATAGTTGTAGCAGCACCCTCGGAGTGACTGAGATGTCAGACAATTTTGGAATTTGGCAATCTCCGTGACAACCATGTCGTGGAAATCGTGTTTGGACAGAGACTTCCTTCTTAATATGCGGCCCTTATGAAAGTATAAGGAGTAGAGTCTGAAAGAATCGCAAATTGTTCTTTTGAGAAAAAAAAGTTTGCTTGAAACGAATGATCAACACAAAATCCTGATTTTGACTTGGGGAACAAAATCCTGATTTTGACTTGGGGAACAAAATGATATCGATGAGTCTTGCCCTTTCTTATCCCTTTGAGTCCTAGGTCAAGAAGGAGGGAAGGAAGAAAATGAATGTATGAAGGAAGGAATTGTCACACCTAAAACACACAAGGAGTATGCATAATAAAAATATGCCAAAAGTTCAGTATATTTTTATGCAAGGAGAATATTGCCCGAGAAATGTACAGTAAACTGTAAAATTGGGAAAAATGGCAAAAGTACTTGATTACTTTATAAGCGTTTTCTACGAGCAAGTTTGTAAAAACATTTTGAACAAATTTCTAATCTCCGGTAGCTGATGCATTTTGCATTAATATCACGATTTTTCATTTTGTGTGTTATTTACAAACGTAGGAATATAGACCATATTGGGTAATTCATTCAGGAAAATATCACAATAAAATGTCTTTGTCGCAATTAATACACAAATTCATTCTGTCGGAGTAATAGTGGAGTTACTATATCTGCAAGATGCTACTTGTCGTTTAAGAGAACCACAACAAAGACAACCTAATTCATTGCTGGCTGCGTGGCAGTTGTATATAAATATGTTGTTGGTAGATAGAGCAGCTACATGCGCATGCGTAGTTCAATAACATAGAGGCTGTCACAAGGTATGACCAAATGTTCTTTACTCTAGCATCCATCCTTCTAGCAACACTGTGCTGTATGTGCCAACAGGAAACACCTGAAGTGTGAGATGGACTGTTACACGTTACCTGGTCGTTGGGTTCCTGAGGATCAGGAGGAGTTTAGCACGAGGGTTCAGATGGTGAGTGACGTCAGCATTTGTCACACATGGCTCCGTGCATCCTTCGTTGCCTGGCAACATGTCCCAAAAGTCGTTGAGAGAGAAATATCCCGGTGTGGCATCAGCTATGAAACACAAGACCCAACCCCGTATTTTACGACATTGAAACGAATACAAATACAGTATCAAATGCATGATATGAGCGGATTTGTGTATGTCTCCCTATATTATTATCTAACTTTGGAGGCAATCGTCATATGAAGCTGCCCGTTTGTATGCTTATCGTCAAGCATGTAATGACTTGAGTTGCAGACATTTCTAAGCATGAATTCAAACCTTGATACTTGATCATAGACTATTTCAAATATATTCCTTACATAATCACTTACTCACTACTAAGAAATATTTGTGTTTGAATAAAAACAACAAATAAAACATTTAAATGTTATGAGTGTTTTGGAGGCCTATCTATAGGAGACATGAGCTTGAAACATACATGAAAATATTACAAGAAAACACGCACGTACCAAGTCATCTGAGCTTAATACGTAATTATTTTGATATCAATCTTTTTTGCCGAAATTGAAGATAAATCGGGAGACAATTGTATTCAGTTCAAGTCATATGATCTTGATAAAGGAGTAGATTGAAATAACACTCTTGGTATTCTTATGGTGAGGTACAGCGTAAAACTCATATACAAAGAATTATTCATTTAGCTCCCCTGTATATCAGCATACACGTTTGATATTCTGAAGAAACTCGAGAAAAGTCAAAGTAAGAAAACTATAGCCTTTTTTATAATATTATTATTGAAGACAAATTTACACATATGTAAATTCTAAACCTCACCTGACCTATAAAATGCCCCCATCTTATTGTATCCTTCACGGCAAATCATTCAGTTCCAGCAGAATGATTTTGAATTTACTGTGTCACAAAGTAGGTAGAAAACAAATTACTTGTTTACCAAACCTTGAAATTTATTATCCTGAATATTGCCTTTGTAATACTCTGTGGGTCTTGGGTTTTTTGTATATTGATTGGAAGATATGTATGCGAATCACTTCTTTAAAACAACCATGTTCGTTCAACCTGCAACTGTGGAGTCATTACATTATATGAAAAAGTTCCAAATATAACCCCTTAAGTTTAAAACATATACCATACCACAGTGTTTTTGAGTGAGCGAGTAAAGTTTTACACCGCTTTTAGCAATATTCCAGCAATATCACGGCGGGGGACACCAGAAATGGGCTTCACACATTGTGCCCATGTGGGGATTCGAACCCGGGTCGTCGGCGTGACGAGCGGACGCTTTAACCACCAGGCTACCCTACCGCCCACACAGCGTTTTGGAAACGTAATTGAAAAACAAAACAGTTTTTTTACCAAGGGTAATAAGCTGCAAAGGAAAATATACCCTGTTACCTATCACATATGGATTGACTTCGCCTTGCCTGTGTTTACTCTGGATAAATGAGGCACCCGTCTGTAGACAATTCAGATACGTGTCTATGGATGAGCAGGACGGACCTGAAAGAGAAGCACATTGAAGGAAACACGCGATGGTTTCCGGTAACGAATGTTACCGGGTGACATCATGATTACAATGCCGCAATGTGGCTGGGCGGTTAGGCGTCTGACTTTGTGTGCTGGCGATTAGGTGCCTGACTCTGAGGGTGTGGGTTCTAATCCTGGATGGGACTCAGCCCGAGAAAAGTACTAGAGTCTGAAGAAAGTGTAATCCCAAATATATCATATGTTACGTGTGACATCATGTTTTTAGATGTTACCATTGCAGCTGGAAGTATGCTTGAAGAGATTAAACATAAAGGATGTTGGTGTAAATGTTTGTCCCGTTGCCAGAGTGTTTGAAGGAGTCCAAGCGATGGTTGGTTGGTTGTAGTTGAACGCCGCACTCAGCAACATTTCAGCTATATGGCGGCAGTCTGTAAATAATTGAGTCTGGACCAGACAATCCAGTGATCAAAAGCATGAACTAGGATCAACGCAACTGGGATACGATGACATGTTTGTCAACCAAATTAGCGAGGCTGTCCACCTGATCCTGTTAGTCGCCTCTTACGAATATCATGCTTTGCTGAAGACCACGTTTAAACCGGATCTTCGCGGGTTTCAAGCTAAGGTTGATATGATATCGCTTAATGTGCGAAGGAAGCCTAGTAAAGAGTGATACAATCTTAGATAAATGTTGAACGATGCCAACTTAAAGGCAACACAATGTCAGATACACGTTTGACGGAAGCCAAGTAAAGAGTGATACCATCTTAAATAAATGTTGAACGATGCCAACTTAAAGGCAACACAATGTCAGATATACGTTTGACGGAAGCCAAGTAAAGAGTGTTGCAATGTCTAATAAATGTTGAAAGATGCCAACTTAAAGGCAACACAATGTCAGATATACGTTTGACGGAAGCCAAGTAAAGAGTGTTGCAATGTCTAATAAATGTTGAACGATGCCAACTTAAACGCAACACAATGTCAGATACACGTTTGATGGAAGCCAATTAAAGAGTGATACAATCTTAGATAAATGTTGAACGATGCCAAATTAAACGCAACACAATGTCAGATACACGTTTGACGGAAGCCAAGTAAAGGGTGATGCAATGTCTAATAAATGTTGAAAGATGCTTGGTAAAAGAGGATACCTGTATTTCAGATAACGACGAAGTTTCGCTTGCATGAGCGGATTGATTCCCAAATATTTGCACCTAAGAGCCGACCATTTACCACTATTCAGCAGTCAGACAATGCACATTATTGCCTCTATTAAAACTTCTATTAAAACCTTCTCCTCAAACAATAGGGTAATTGTTATTTGGAGTCCGGTCATTAGTGAAACGTCCTGCTCTGAAACCAGTAAGCTTTGCTGCATTCAATATGAATACAGGCTCGTTTGACGCACATGAACACGACATGCGACTAGTATACCAGCACTCAGAGTACAGAGAAATTCGGTAAAGCAGAGGCTCGAATTTCTTAACAAGTATACTATTCGCACTTTGCTGAGGATCAAATCATCGATTCAACAGAATACCGTGATGTAGGGTCAAATTTGGTTTAAATATCTAAGCTTATTGTAAGCATGGATCCAAGTTTTCAGTATGTCACTGCATCTTGTGGATCCCGTACCTGCTATTGACAGGTGTTCTGTACTTCTCAATGGCACGTGCCATGATTTGCAAAATGGTTGGTTGGTGCCATGGAAACCATTTTTATGTTACTCATGTATCACGTGCATACGGTTAGTTTATTGTGGTAAAGATGTGTTCCCATATCATTATTTATCCAGTTTTAAATGGATACAATTTCAAATTATAAATCTACGTTCAAGTAAAGTTGAGATTTGTTGTGATCCTTAGCAAAGTGTGAGTGGTATGTTATTCTGTACCATAGCATCCTTGTATTCATCAATTTCCCCTTCCATGATTCACAATTCCTGTGGTTTCAGTATCAGTACTAATTATACTCACAGTCTGCTACTGTTATGTGGCAGAGTTAGTCACTGTGGAACATTGACAATTTTGGCAGCTTGTCCTCATTGCAGGTTTGCGAATATTATCATGACTGTATCTTTTGTCTTTATCACTGTTTCTGACTTTCAACAAATGTTACATGTATCTTTATCTTGCCTCACAAATAAATGTCGTTTTCTGATTGGCTGAGCGCTCTGCTTTTATTTTCAATGTACCCCGTTTACAAGCGAGTAACATTTTCTATGTACCCCCCTGGGAATGCCGAACTCATTTGGTACTTCATAGTAGTAATTCATTATCTCGAATAACATTGAATCACGTATGATGTACGGAAATTACCGATGTTTTGCGAATGCAAATCGATGGAAGGAGATAACTCTAAAATTGTTTTTCTTGTCGTCTGGTACTCCATACTATGATCCGATACCCGTGCTTCAAACAGTTTGAAATTACCATTGAGGTGTTCGGTAAGATAAATACGTTGTTCACTGGTCCCTCGGGGCCCATGGGTTGATGTACCCTCGATGTTTTTTTATGTTCCCTGAGCCCGAATGACAAACATCGAGGGTACATCAACCCATGTCCCCCTCGAGACCAGTGAACAACTTATATAGTTAACCATTTGTTAAATGCTAAACGATAACATCTATGCAACATGGACACCAGTTGTGCTCCACACACACACACACACACACACACACACACACACACACACACACACACACACCACCACACACACACACACACCCTTTGCGTGTCACTTTTAAAATTCTGTACACGGAATAGAATTTCTGGCAAAGAATTGGCGAAGTCAAAGCACCGTAATTTGGCCAGGAAGTGTGATTTTAGCTTTTTTCGATGATCTGATGTCGTTGAGTAGCGTGGAAATAGCCAGTTCCCTTCCATCAATTTACCTGAGCTAGAAGTAAACGAGACCAGCGACATCGCCTCAGTGGATGCACGTTTAGATCTATGCGTGAAGATTTAAAATGACAAAACCCTCTCCTGTTCTGTTTGACAATAGGGATGAGTTCAACTTTACAATAGTCAAGGTTTTCAGTATGTAGAACACTATTCCTGTATCATTGTTGTCTACATTGCAGAACGTTTGAGGTACAATAGCGCGTGCTGGCTCATGTTGTTTGATAAACTTTTTGACAATCACATCCTCAGCGAAGCCTTCGCAAGATTCTATCAAAAACATGAACAGGATATTTTCTTGGACGCATAACTGGCAAAATTATGTCCTATGCATTTCCTTGTTTTGACTTGTGCCATATGTTTAGTGTTACTTTTAATGTGAACAATACCGTTGTATTGCCCATTTTCTGACAGGTGTCATTATACGTTTCTAAGTACTAAGTTCTAAGTACTAAGGCCCTGGCCCAACAACACGTCATTAGAAGTAGCCGTGAAAACACAAGACTAAACAAGTCTATACGTACGTAGTCGGATACGACCGATCCACTGAGTCTCTTTCACGGCATGGGGTGCGACGTCAGGGTGTTGTACTATTCTATTGAAAAGTGTCGTGGTGCCACATTTGGCCTGTCCTATGATGAAGAAGTAGGGGAGGCAGCGCAGGGTCTTCCCCCTTCTCAGCTCCATCCATTTTAATGACTTCTTTGATGCTCTCTTAGCATAAGGACAGGTGTTTTCAGGAACTTGCTCTTCCCACCAGCATGGGTTAGTAAATTCTGGATCACATTTGGAGGTTGCCTTGAAACAAATTAATCAAAGACATAAAATCATGATTTATGCTCGACTGACTTACTGACTGAGTTTGGTTTTACGCCACTTTTAGCAATATTCCAGCAACATCACAGCGGGGGACACCAGAAATGGGCTTCAAACATTGTGCCCATGTGGGGATTCGAACCCGGGTCTTCGGCGTGACGAACGAACGCTTTAACCATTAGGCTACCCAACCGCCCCGATTTATGCTCGAAAGCTGTTCGGCTCTATCCTCTTGTACTGAAACCTTGTTTACGGTGAGGAACTTTTAGATTTCTGCAAATATTACCCAGTAACCATATTTCATTATTCCGGAACTTCGGTTTGGATGTGTACGTCAAGGTCAAATAGTAGAGGGGATGGGTCTGTGTCGTGGTTGGAAGAGGAAGGGGCGTAGGGGGAATAGGATTCTTCAGTGATGGTGCGAAATAATTGAAATATTGTTCAAATCGGTTTTGACCGAATCCACTCATTCACTCACACACTAAAAGTGACATATATAAGGAACCTAAAATGTCATAAAATCCCCAAGATAAAACGCCAGTAAATAATAATAACTGCAAATAATTAATTATTGTAAGTTATTTCTCACCTGTTTCATGACATCAATCTCCCGCCATAGAGTTTTGTTGTTAGAGGCATTTTCCAGATACATTTCTGTAATGTTATATAATTTGACACGAGCAAGATATGCTTGAGAGAGTTGGTGCTTTTTAAGTCGACGCATGCGCGTTTCAGTCAGGGCTGAGTCTGTCGTCTTCAGTAACCCCGAGTTGGGTCTTTGCATATGTTGGTACTCCAATTGCGTCAGCTGGAAGGGGTTAATCACTGTAACGTACCCAAGAACAAGGAGCAGAACCAACACAGACCATATTAACCCCACCTTCAAACGTTTTAGTCCAGTTGTCATCATGGGTTGTCTCTCTGTAAATTGAATAAGATGAAGCGTTACTGGTGCGTGACATTTTTGTTTCAGATTCACAAAATTCTTTCATTTGGAGCAACTGTTGTCAAGGTAGGACATTCCAAGACAAGCAACGGGCTCGATGAGATAGAAAAACACACTCTGACAAGTTGCCAGTGATTTGAAAATAGCATGTTGTTGGATTCTAAAGGGACTTTAGGGAATATACTGTGCAATAGAATTATCTTTGGATCGTGATTGACACGACGTTTTCGTCATTTTGGGCCAACAGTGAACCAAAGCTCAGCTGCTGTCATGCGTCAGTGTCAGTCTGATCAACTCCCAAAGCCCTGCATAATCATGGGCGACTTGAACTGGGGAGTACTGATACAAATAATAAGGGAAAGGTCCCTGAAGATTTACTCTCAAATAATGATGTATGCATCTTCAACGATGGATCTAACACCTATCTCCATCCTGCCATTGTAACATACTCTGCTCTCGATCTATCACTTACAGATTCTAATCTTTTAAATGAGTTTGAATGGTCGGTCCACGATGACCTTGGTGGAAGCGACCACTTCCCAACAATTCATACCCTTATCAATCCCACGGATGAACCACTTTTTCAGACGTCCTAAATGCCATTGGAGACAAAACTATTCCTAAGTCCTCTGCAAACCCGCATATACGGAAACCATGGTTTGATACAAATTGCAAACAAGCTAGCAAAAATAGGAAGAAGGCGGGAAAATATTTCCGACAACATCCTACTGTGCATAACCTAAATGCCGTTAAAATGACAAATGCCAGGGCAAGACGTACATTTAAGCAAACTAAACGCCTATCATGGAGGAAATATGTGTCCAACATCAACTCCTGCACACCCATGTCCAAGGTGTGGAACATGATTCAAAAGATAAAGGGCAAAGTATCAAAATCTGGTGTTCGCCATCTCAAAGATAGATAGTGACTCTTTTTTAACAAATAAAGTTGAAATCGCAAACAAACTCGGCGAAACTTTGGCAAACCACTCCTGCTCATCAAATTATGTCCCTCAATTCCAGAAATACCAAACCCAACAAGAAAAGAAATCAGTCAATTGTAACTCTGATAATGGAGAGGATTACAATGAATCGTTTTCTCTCCATGAATTACGTACTGCCCTGGGCAGGCTCACGTTAAACACCTCCCGGATTCAAGTTTGGAAACTCTACTCAATATATTTGATGACATTTGGACAACCGGAAACGTTCCTCCTTCGTGGTACAATGCCATTGTCATCCCTATACCAAAGCCTGGCCGGGATCATACAGATCCCACAAACTACCGTCCTATATCACTAACTAGCTGTGTTTGTCAAACCATGGACCGCAAGGTCAACAATCGATTAATCTGGTACTTGGAGACCAATAACCTCCTTAGTGACGTCCAATGTGTTTTCCGAAAGAACCGAAGTACGTCTGACCATCTGGTGCGTCTGGAATCATTCATAAAAAATTCCATTGTCAACAAACAACATACTGTATCTATCTTTTTCGACTTACAAAAAGCATACGATACAACGTGGAAACATGGTATCTTAAAGGATTTACATGAATTTGGATTGAGGGGCAGATTACCTCAGTTCATATCTCAGTTTCTAAACAACAGACAATTTCAAGTACGGGTGGGCCCACTGCACATTGTCTGATTATTTCCATCAAGATCAGGGCGTCCCTCAAGGCAGCATCCTGTCTGTCACACCTTTTAGCATCAAAATTAACAGCCTCACCAACGTCTTGAACAGTTGATGGGTCCCTTTTCGTGGATGATTTCAATATTTCATGTCGTGGGAAGAACATGCACACAATAGAAAGGCAGCTACAACTCTGCCTTAACAAAATCTCAAAGTGGGCCAATGAAAATGGCTTTAAGTTTTCAAAATCCAAAACAAATTGTATTCGCTTTTGTTGTAAATACAAACCACACAAGGATCCAGTCCTATCTTTAGATGGTACTCCCATTAAGGTAGTAGAAGAGGCCAAATTCCTGGGACTCATATTCGACTGTCACTTGACATTCTTACCACACATATAAAATATTTGAAAACAAAGTGCTTGAAGGCTCTTGAGTGGGGAGGGGATCAAACTACCCTCCTTCACTTATACAGATCATTGGTTTGCTCTAGACTGGACTACGGCTTCATTGTCTATGGTGGAGCCTGCAAAATTCTAGATTCTATCCACCACCAAGGCCTGAGGTTCTGCCTGGGAGCTCCGGCTAACGAAACTTCCCTTGAACAACGCCGCATAAAACTTTCACTGCAGTATATCACTAAATTACGTTCAAATGAGTCCAATCCAGCATACAATTGTGTTTCAACCCTCTCTATGAAACCTGTTTCCTAACCTGTCAAGCCTGGTTTCCACCACTCGGAGTCAGAATTCAACCACACATATCTGCAGCTAAAATGCTATGATCTCAATATCATAGCACCTTACCGGCTTCTGTCTTCGCCACTGCGGCAGATGGTGAAACCACAGGTCGATTTAACCCTCACCAACTCAAAAAGTCAGAAATAAATCCTTTGGTGTTCCAACATCAATACAACCAGTTACGTTCCAAGTATAACACCCATAGATCCATTTTCACAGACGGATCTAAAGATGATAGCCAAGTTGCCAGTGCTACAGTCATTGGACCCAAGACTGTCTCTTCTAGAATTCCCGACAATAGTTTTCACTGCTGAGGCCAAAGCTATCTTCACAGCTTGACCTATATTAAACAACAGAACCACTCCCAAAACTTCACTATCTTCCCTTCAAGCACTTTAAAATGTTACTTCAAGTCACCCTATCATCCTGGACATTTTAGAACTTTACAACGATCTTTCTACTGGCCAATGTGACATCGTCCTCTGCTGGGTGCCGGGTTTCCCGCGTGAGCGGGCATCTCATTGTTAGCTACCTGAGGGAAGCTGACCTATACCATAAATTGTAGCTACGTAATGTGAATAATGGATTGCCTGCTTTTGAATTTGGTGTTTTGAATTTCTGTCTTTTAAATAATAATGTAATGAATATATACTTTTTCAAAATAAAACTCATTGGTACTTTGTACTTAAAATGTGTATGAAATCAGATTTGATGTCACTATATGGATGAAATAATTCCGAAGTGACGTAAAGCCCAACTCAACTCAACTCAGTGTCAGTAACAATTGTCTTGAGCTATAGGTAAGCTGGGACCCCGTCTCGCATATCACAATATACAATATGATTCCCAGGTCTTTCAGCGCGACGGAGTCCAGCTTGACCAATCCGGATGTGACGTCAAATAAACGAGTAGGGCGTTTTATATGGCGGCCTATACCGGCTCCTAGCTTTATATTTGGCGCAAGTAAGCGCGCGCAAAGGGAGCCGAGAACCAGCTTAGAGCTATAGGTGCCTGTGACGATACTGGTAATCAATTAACAATTAATTCTCCCCGCAATGACAATAACGAAGGCTCCCGTCAAGGGACGTAGCTAGAGTGAGTGAGTGAGTGAGTTGAGTTTTACGCCGCACTCAGCAATATTCCAGCTATATGGCGGCGGTCTGTAAATAATCGAGTCTGGACAAGGCAATCCAGTGATCAACTGTATGAGCATCGACCTGCGCAATTGGAAACCTATGACATGTGTCAACTAAGCCAGCGAGCATGACCACCCGATCCCGTTAGTCGCCTCTTACGACAAGCATGGGTTATTGAAGGTTCATTCTAACCCGGACCTTCACGGGTTGGACGTAGCTAGAAATGTAACCGCTCGAAGATTAAAGATCCATACTCGAGTTATCTTGTTATTTAACGAAGAAGTAACGAAACAGTCCCCTCATCCGTAAGTCACAGTCAACTCACAGTGGTTGGTTATTGCAATATTGTTGAGGGTCTTAAACTTGTATCGACATGTATCTACTAAACATTTTAGCTTGGACATTGTATACCATGAATACTGTCGGTGTGTGTTTCCGTCCTCTTCGGCAGAACGTACGAGCTACAGAGTCGTGCAAAAGGTATCCGGACACTTGACGTAATTTCCATAGACTTACATGTTTATTTAGTGTAGCATAAATAATTTTCATGAATTTGATTTTCGTAAGATCCAAGTCAACTTTTGCACATTTGTGAGGAATCATCTTACCTACAATCACATCATTTCTGTTTAATTGTTCGTTGCTTATTTATCGATTGGCAACAATTTAATCATGATATGTACAGTGCCGTAAATTCCTTTAACATGGCGGCCTATGGGATTGTGCATTGTGGAACCTTACGTAAGTTGATAACTGTGATGTAATTAGTTAAATAGTGGTCGGAAAATTGAACAGAAACCATGTGCGCAGAGCAGAGATGATTTCAAATTTGCCTGACAAATTTTACAAAGATCCATCCTAAACTCACTTCATGGAAATTATTTATGCTACACTGAAATAACATGTAAGTCTATGGAAATTACATCAAGTCTCCGAATACCTTTTGCACGGGTCTGTAGTTCTCAAGCCCTCTCGCTTGACTTCGGAAAGGGGTTTGTGGCTGTTATTGGCCTTCTCACCGCGGAAATGAATTCATTCGCCCTAACACCAAAGTTAATGTAATGTTGAATGAATGTCGCCTTAGGTCATATGGTTGTCCTAATTGTACAGAATATTTTAAAGTTACTGTCGAATGTGGCACAGTTCTTGAATCCAGGAAACAGCGTTTGAAGCAATATTTTGAAACAGGTATCCCTCCCGCACTGGGCAAATAACAGATCAGACAATTAGAAAATATACATCCAAGAGAGGTCCGTCAACACTACAAGTTTCCCCATCAGTGCCCTGAAGGGGAAAAATGATATTGTATGAGTGCCCCACTTTACTGCAACTAAAGACCCTCAGAAATAACCCCACAATAAATTCAACCACATAACAGGTATTATCTGCCTTTAATTGTTTTAACAGAGAGTTATTAACAAGGATAATAACATGACCACTTATACAGCGCTGTTCAAACTCCAAGCC